CCTTAATGGTTCAATGCCCTTCAATTTTTTTTTTTTTAACTAGAGTTTAGAATTCACACTACTTTCAGTTATGTGTGCTGATCTGCAAACAAGCAAAATTTTGCATTTATAGCAAAAGAAATATGTGAAAGTGCCTTAAAAATATAAAGCAGCACACAAAGGCAAGTACTACATAATCAGTGCTTTGTGTAAATTATGGTTTTTGTTGAGCGAGATCATTATCGCTGTGTACAGGAGCAAAGACTTTCCTGTGGTATGCAGCCGTGGTCACTGTTTGTAGAAGCCATGTGCTTGGGGTGGGACTGTGCCTCGTAGACTCACAGTTTGCTTTTGCAAACAGTGCAGGATAAAACTGAGAAAGCTGCTGGGGCGCCTAGGTGGCTCAGTCAGATGACTTTGCCTCAGGTCATGATCTCGTGGTCCGTGAGTTCGAGCCCCGCGTCGGGCTCTGTGCTGACAGCTCAGAGCCTGCAGCCTGCTTCGGATCCTGTGTCCCCCTCTCTCTGACCCTCCTCTGTTCATGCTCTGTCTCTCTCTGTCTCAAAAATAAATAAATATTAAAAAAAACAAAACAAAAAAAAAAAACTGAGGAAGCTGCCGCCTGGAAGCCGGCTAAGGCCAGGCCTAAATCTTCTTCAACCCCATAGATGCTCACTGCGAAGTTTAACATCAGGAAACTGTGCTAGGGGGATACTAAGATCAAGAATAATAATCCCTTGGGGCGCCTGGATGGCTCAGTCTGTTGAGCGTCCAACTCGTGGTTTCAGCTCAGGTCGTGACCTCACGGCTTTGTAGGTTTGAACCCCACATCAGGCTCTGTGCTGACAGCCTGCTTGGAATTCTGTCTCTCTCTCTCTCTCTCTCCCTCTTCTGCCCCCACCCCCAACTTGCATTGTCTCTGTCTCCCTCAAAATAAATAAATAAATAAGAATAATAGTCCCTTGCCTGGGCCCGGCATGTAGTTTACTTGTATTTTTGAAATCTCTCATCTAATTCTCACAGCCATCCTGGGAGGTAGGTAAAGGAACCCACATTTTACAGAGAGGTTAAGTAGTTTTCACCACGTCACACAGCTTAGGTGTAGCAGAGCCAGTACCGGAACTCAGGTCCTCTAATCCTGACCCCTGCGCTATCTGTCCTGGCCGCCTTCGGGACTGACAGGCCCTGCCTGCCCACCAGAGGCACGCCGTTTAAAGGGGAAACACATCTAAAAGTATCAGTGCAAAGCCATATTGATCAGGTATTCTTATGAAATGCCAACAAGCGCAGGAAAAAGAAGAGGCAGGCAGTTAATTTCCTCTTGGCCACGTTCTGTCCTAAGAACAGGGTGCCTCCTTATCTGTGCCATATATCTTCAGTGTAGTGTGGCTTTTGATGGTGCCAGTGTAAAAGGAAATGATGTTCCATAAAGGGCTATCACTTTCTCTTTGTACACCTCCTTTTACCTGTCTCTGTGTCGTACAGCCTCTTCCTTTTGTTTACTTGTGAATTCCAATCTCTGGATCTGTATCTCTGTTTTCCTGAGTCAAAGGGGATGTATCTTGGCCTCTTTATTCCCTGTAGCTGTACCGATCTCAGTCTTCCGATAGATTTTCTTCCTGTGCTGCATCTTTCTCTCCACGTCTCTTCCCATCATTTTATTTCTCCTTTTGTCCTTCTTAGTCTCTGCTTCCAATGCCACTATTACAGAAAAGAAGTGCAGGTCTAAGCAAATATGGCTTTTTTCAGAATAGAGTTTCATTTTCTGTTATTATTATTATTATTATTATTATTATTATTTTGGTAATAGATGGGTGGATAGAGACCTCCAAAGATCTCTTTCAGTTCAGTTCTGGAGCTCAAAATAAAGACGTTTCATGTGTGAATCTCAATTGCTTTTCCTTAGGTCCATTTTTCTGGATAGGAAGAAAATGTCCTTAATGGAGGGTAGCAGCCTGCACATCGCGTATCTTAAAGACACTCACCTGAGTATTCTCAGTCTCTTACAAGTAAATATGGTATTTTCAATTTAAGGCTAGAGGAACCAGGGAGCAGAATGGGAGAGAGTTCTGCTATCCTGCCCCCTAATGGTATCCAGATTGGGGTTTAAAGGAATGGGAGAGAGAGGTTAGAAACCAGAGAAATCCCACCATAGCCCTCCCAAACTGGGAGCTTTATAAATTCTTACTCAAGGTGTGGCATTCTGGTTTGGTAAATGAGTCTTGTCTTGGCTTATAGTAACCCAAACTTCACTCTCCAAACCCACCTAAGAAGCATAATCAAAAACTCCTTAAATCCCAACTCTACAGCATGAAATCACCCTGAACGTGAATCAGGACCCTGAATTGCACCGTGAGCCTTGCTACTTCATAGGGTGGAGTGTCAGCTTCCCGTTCTGCACTTAAGTTTCTTCATCTATAAAATGAAATACTATGTTCTCCTGTTTTCACTGGGTTGTTTTGAGAACCAAGTGAGATATGTGAAAGTGATTTGAAAAATTGTAAAGGTATAAATATAAAATGATGTTAATAACGGCAGCATCAGAGCCCATAAACTACACTCCACACGTTTTAATTCGTGAACAAACAATTAGAAACAGTGGTTATTAGTCAGAAACTATATTGTGAAAGACAACTATTTTCTTGTTTATCAGGTTTGAGGGCAGTGTAGTCATTAAGCACACTGACCTTGAAGGCAGAAGGTGATGAGTTCAAACTCCAACTCTGCCACCAGCAATGTGAACTTGGGCAGTTTTTTCACTGCTCTGGGTCTTACTTCGTGCACGTGTGAGTGCACACGTGCGCACACATACACACACACACACACACACACACACACACACGATAATAGATTCTTTGTGAGGATCCAGTGAGATAATGCTTGTAAAATGTTTGATAGAGTGCCTGGCACATAGTAAGTATTCAATAAATATTAGCTTTAAAATGTATCAAGTATTTCTTGGGCACTGGCAATGTGCCAGGCCTAACTTAGGAAACAAAATGGAAAGATAATGGTTCTATTTCCAAGAGCTAACAAGTTTGGTGGGGAAACATCCATACAAATGAAAAAAACAACATGCTCACTATTCAAATGCAAAAGTGGTCTAGAAAAGGAAATTTATATTGGAGGCACCCGGATGACTGAGTCGGTTAAGTGTCCGACTTCGGCTGAGGTCATGATCTTGCGATCTGTAGGTTCGATCTGTAGGTTCGAGCCCCAGGTTGGGCTCTGTGCTGACAACTCAGAGCCTGGAGCCTGCTCAGATTCCGTGTCTCCCTCTCTCTCTGCCCCTCCCCCACTCACACTCTGCCTCTCTCTCTCTCAAAAGTAAATACAACATTAAACACTTTTTTTAGAAAAAAGAAAATGTATAAATAGGCCTGGAAGAAACAGGTAGATAGAAATTTTCCTAGTGAAGGAAACACGACTCAAAACTTTTGAAGAGTGAGTAGAAGTTTGTATTGAAAAGGCTTGGTGCTTTTTATTTGGCTTTATCATCTGCCATAGGGCTTGAAAAGCCAAGTCTCATGTTTATGCTTGTTGGCTTTCTGGTGATTCAAGCTTAAAATTCTGGCGACTTGATGAGCATGGTGTTGGAAACTGATTTTACTTGCTATTTTCTGTATGTGAAACATCTGTTGTTTTGTTTTCATTTCACAGACCCCGTAAGAGCTGTACAAACAGCTTCTTGCATAGGGAATAGATTGGTTGCCACCACTTAAAAGTGTTAGCATCCTTGGAGCATGTCGCTGGTCCCTTTAAGGAGAGAAGGCAGGGAGAAATGGTAACCACTTGTCCCTCTCTGGAAAAGTTGGAGCTGGAGGTGACTGGGGCAAATAGGTAGGGAACAGAAAATGGGATGCACAAGCATTTGTCCTGGAGACAATGAAAAGTTTACAGAGAGCTGTCCTTTGTCCACATGCAAATGTGAAAATACAGAAAGCTTTGTATTTGCCAGATACCTTGCTACCAAATTGGAGTGTCTTTTTCAGTTCACCATGTATGTCAGCAATGAATTTGGGAGTTAGAGATGTTGCCCTAAGTGGAAGAAATTTCAGACTTTCCTTTGAGTATTCTGTTTCCTTAATGTTGGTCAAATCCTTCAACAATGCACAAGAAGATGAAAAAGCTGTGTTAACTCTATTATCTGCTTCTGTACCAATAGCTGCCATGTTAGAGAAATTTAATTGGCATCTAACAGAAATCATCTGTTACCTTAAAAAAGTCATAGAATCTTAAGAATTTAGAACTGGAAGAGCCTTAAAGAGCTTGTAGGTCAGCCTCTTCATTTCACAAATGAGCAAACGGTGGCCCAGAGAGGCTGAGCCTCCCTCACCTCCGTTTCGGAATCCTCTCCAGGGCTTTTGTAAGCATTTTGCATGCTGATGAAGGAAAGGGAGCCACAAAGCCTTTGCATTGCAATAGGCACAAGTGAATTGTCTTCCCCCCCCCCCCCCATATTTGTCAGCTTCAGAAGAGGGAGATCAAAGCAAAGTAAAACTTTGGTAAGTCCCAAGAGGGACAGAAGCCCGGTGATGTTGAAGTTACTGTATCGGTCCACGTGACTGGCGCTGAGTGGAAATGAGTCGTTTCCAACCCATTCAAGTTTAGGGCACCTGGATGGAGAACTTTAAAATAAGAAAACATTGTCAACAACAACAACAACAACAACAACAACAACAACAAAACAGTCACCGAAACTGGAGAGTATCTTGACCCACAGGCAAGAGGCAGCACCGCAGAACCACAGAAGGTGTGCAGACATGGTATTCCGCCTCACTAAGATTGAGAGAGGATCTGCTGGCTTCTGTAGGGGGATTTAATGCTTTTAGGAGCGACCCCCCCGCCCTCCCGCCCCGGAGGAAATGCAGCAGCGGCAGGACGTGGAAAAGCCATGTTTGGCCTGCAGAGAGATCTTTTCCTTAAGACTCCTATTTGGACGCTAAAGTGCCTGATAGATAAGCCGGGCAGGCAGATGGCCACAAGCTCACCGGTCCTCCCCTTCCTTCCGCCAAAGAGAGATGCCCCGGCCCGGAGGGCTCCCCAACCCTGGGGATGGGGGTGGGGTCTCGACCGAAGGCACCTTCGTACCTGGATTTCTCGCGGCCTCCCCCAGCCCGCACCCTCTGCCTGGGGCCGGGGAGCAGAGGAGGACTGAGGGCAGGTGCGAGGCGTTTCGTCGGTCGCGCCGGTCTGGGAGGGAGGGGGACGCGTCCGCGGTGACGGAACAGAAGCCCCGAGAGCCTCGGCCCTTCCCACCACTGCCTGGGCCCCGCGGCCGCTCCAGAGGCGGCGGCGAACGCTCCACACCGCCGGTTCGGGGCGCAGCGTCGGCAACCTCGGAGCTCACCGGGCCGCAGCTCGCCCGCCGGCCGGGGGAACCCGGGGGAAGCCTCCGGGCCCAGGGGCGGCGGCGGGGAGACCCCGCCCCGGCCGGCCGGC